ATACATAATTGAGTAATTAACAAACATGCATGACAAAAATAATTCCCAACTTAGTTGTGTGGACTGCGTAACACATTTCAAAATATGTCATTCCGTCACTATTTATTAACAGAATATTATAAAATGGCGCTCTGTTGCGCACAATAAATTTCACATGAATAAGGGTTTTCTAAAAGTTTGGAATGAAACATTAAAAAATGAATAATACATAATTGAGTAATTAACAAACATGCATGACAAAAATAATTCCCAACTTAGTTGTGTGGACTGCGTAACATACTTCAAAATATGTCATTCCGTCAGTATTTATTAACAGAATATAATGAAATGGCGCACTGTTGCGCACAATAAATTTTCATGCATAAGGGTTTTAGAAAGTTCCGGTATAAAACTGTAACGACCCTTTCTCGCAGTCGTTGCCTATTTGTTGAGGTATGCTCAGTCTCACCAAAGTCGTCACAATAAATTTATAGATTGTGACCAAAATATTCAAAGCGCTGTGATTTTATTTCAATTTCTTTATTTACTTAATACTTTATTCAGAGTTCATAAATTTTAAATATTTATTTAGTATAGTAAAACAAATTAACTTTGTTCCACAGAAAAAAAAATAAAATAAATATATATGTATATATATACAAAATTTAAATATGTAGTTTTTTTTTTTTAAAAGGATAAAAATTTAATAATTAAATAAAGGTATTCTTGGAGAAGTGTCAGTCCTTGAATATCTTTGATAGATCTTCCTTCTTCAAGCCCCTGATTTTGTATTCTTCTGACCTTATTGTTGGTGTGAGACCTCCGGTCGTATTCAAGTACAATTATGCCTTCGTTTGGAGATTTTCGTTATAGTCAGTCTCCTTTGTGTATTACAGAGAATTACTTTGGACACAGTCGACGTGATACCACCTGTCGTGTCTTAATAATTATCTAGTAATTATTCCTTCCGAAAGATATTTTTTTTTTGTTATATAAAATATCCTTATAATTATATAAATTTTTGCAATTATTTTGGACACAGTCGACGTTAAACCACCTGTCGTGTCTTAATAATTATTATACCTTGATTTTGATATTTTTTTCATATAAAATATCCTTATATATTTTGATGTTAGCAATTATTTTGGACACAGTCGACGTTAAACCACCTGTCGTGTCTTAATAATTATTATGTTTTGATTTTGATATTTTTTTCATATAAAATATCCTTATGTATTTTAATTTTATTAACTATTTTGGACCCAGTCGACGTTAAACCACCTGTCGTGTCCTAATAATTATTATATTTTGATTTTGATATTTTTTTCATATAAAATATCCTTATGTATTTTAATTTTATTAACTATTTTTGGACCCAGTCGACGTTAAACCACCTGTCGTGTCCTAATAGTTATTATACCTTGATTCGATATTTTTTTATATAAAATATCCTTATGTATTTTAATTTTATTAACTATTTTGGACCCAGTCGACGTTAAACCACCTGTCGTGTCCTAATAGTTATTATGCCTTTGTGCCTCTAGAGCTTAGTTGACTTGTTCTTCCTAGGTGTATGTGCCTTTGAAGTAATATTTCAAGTACCCTTCATATGAAAAGTGTGCGTCTTATATACCTGAACAGCCGAGCTTTTTATGTAGCGTTTCATTTTTGTTTACTGCTGGTTTGCTGATCTTTGTTTATTTTTCCGTTGTTAGTTTTGCTATCTCATCTGGCATACAGTACTCATTTTGGGTTTCTATTTTCCTTTGCGCTCTCTTCTCGTCATCTTTGAATAATTATTACGGCGAAAACTTTTGACAACTCTTGCTTGTTCTTCCTGTATCTTGTTTTGATTCTTTACTTCACGTGTAGTAGTCTAATTTCCAACAATTAAATAAGTGTATATAAAATAAATTTCGTAAGTATTTTATATCTTTTATTCATAATATTTATTATTCTGATAATATTACATTATTTTCAGGTTACAATAATTCAATATAAAGTTTCCAGTTTTCTTCATATTTTGTGCACATGCACATACGGGGTGGATTTCTTTTGTTTGTTTTCTTCTTTGGTAAGTTAGTGCATTTAGTGAAATTTATTAAATTCAAAAATTTTTTTTTAATACTTTCAGGTCTCTAGGTGGAAGCATGTAGGAGGAAAATTCAATAAAGAAATTTCCATCCTTACATTTCCCGCTTTCTTCGGGAAAAACAAAAAAAAAAAATATTATTGTTTTATGGAACAATATGTACGGCTGCTTCGCCACGTTTACTAATCCTCACCAGATATATCACGTTGTTCACGGTGCGCCGAAATGTACTACGTTTATTGCGTTTCTGTTGGGATTTTACCTCACGTATCTGAGTTTCCAGTTCAGCCGGCCATGTGGTGCATTTAATTTTTGACAATTTATCGCCTGCGTTTGTTATGTTCGGTGGTAATGTTGACGATGTATTCATCATTGCTTCCATTTGCTGCCAATTACAGTCCAGTTCGATGATGTCTTCAATTATATCATGGCATGGTGTTTTTATGGGTTCCCAGAGAAGCGATGGTTTAACGTTTTCTTGCTGTATTGTACTGTTGGAACGTTCGACATTGTTTTCTTGGACATCTTCTAATTGAACTTGCGGGCCTGTCTTTGATCGCCAACCGCTGGCTTTGGGGAGTGTTACACGATCTGTTGGCGTGATTTTTGGTATGACTTTAGTGCTTTCTTTAATACCTTTATTAACTTGTGTTTTTTTCTTTTTAGGTTGCCTTTTGATATCTTTGGACTTCCTCATTACTTTGTGTATTTCGCTCTTGATTTTTAATTTGGATTCGACCACTGGTACATATTTCGTGCGTGGCCTCTGTTCTTGTAGTTGTTCCAACCGTTGTCGAAATTTGATAATGGATGTTTTGAATTTTTTGTCTTGCTGACTCATCTTGACGGTATTTGCTAATCTTTGTAAATGACTGCATTATCTGAGTAAGTTTCTTTTTATACTTTAAGGGATATCGGTATCGTTTTGTTTTACCGTAAATTTTAAACTTTAACTTATTCCGTTAATAAAGTTATCCTTTTAGGTGTTGATAGGTTTTACGATGTACCCTACAGTCGGTATTTTGAACATTGACATGTATATGTTAGTATTTATTTCGAAACTTTTTTTTGGTTTCCATAATATATTTTTAAATCTGAAATGTGGGCTGTTATTATTTTGTTTGTTCTGACTGCTTTCAGGCTAACTATAACTGGAGATATGAATGTTTTTACTTGGTAAGGGCCTTCAAATTTCGGAGCTAATTTTGCTGAAAAATCAGTTGCCGCTTTAGACAGTGGATGTTGTTTGACTAGTACCAACTGATCGATCTTAGGCTTCCACCTCCTTCGTTTTTCGTTATAGTATTTAGCTTGGGTAGTGGCTGCTGCCTGTAAATTTTGTCGAACTTTGTGAAAAATCTCTTGGAGTTTATCTGCCCTCCTTAAAGGTGTTGTAGCTACAGTACCAGTACCTATTGTGCATTCGTCAAAAAGTGTAGCTGGTAATCTTGGCTCCCGTCCTTGTACTAAATATGCTGGGCTGTATTTGGTTGAATCTGACACTGACGTGTTGAAAGCCAAGGTTACTTCCGGCAACATTTCGTCCCAACGTCTGTGTTCTCCTTGTGTCATCTGGGCTATCATCGTTTTAATGGTCCGATTGGCACGTTCCGTGGGGTTTTCTTGAGGAGTATATGGTGCTGTAAGTTGATGTCGAATACCCATTTTGGATAGCCATTCCTTAAACAGGTTGCTGGTGAATTGAGGACCATTATCGGTGATAATATGTTTCGGAGCTCCAAATCTACATAATATCCTTTCTCTGATAGCTTTTATGGTATTCTCGCTGGTAGCTCTTCGCATGGGGATCAGTTCCACCCATTTAGAAAATTTATCCAATATAACGAGTAGCATTGTGTTACTACTTCTTGACCGTGGTAATGGACCTACAAAGTCAGCGGTGATGGTGGTGAAAGGTTCTTCGGCTATTGTGGTAAGCATCATTCCAGCTGGTTTATTCATCATAGGTTTATATTTTTGACATAAATCACATCGTTTAACGTAATTAGCGATGTCCTTGGCCATCCCAGGCCAGTAATAACGATTCTGCACTCGTTTAACAGTTTTCCTTATGCCAAAATGTCCAGCATGTGCTTCATTATGGTTTTCTTCTATTACGCGTTGACGTTGTTCTTCGGGAACACATAATCTCCACTTGCTTTCAGTTTGTTCAGTCTGAGTTATTGGAAGATATTTGTACAACTGTTGATTACAAATGGTAAAGTCTGGATTTTCACTTGGTCTCTCACGAGTGTTTTGAAATTTTCTTCGATACCACTTTTTCGGTTTGTTGTTTTCTGGAGTGGTTATTATTTGATTGATATCTCCTACGGGTTGTCTTGACAGAGTGTCTGCCACTACGTTGTGTTTGCCGCGTCGATATTGTATGTCAAACTGAAATTGTTGAAGTTCCAGTGCCCAACGTGCAATGCGACCAGTGGGATTCTCGATGGAGTTGAGCCATTTCAGGGCCAGATGGTCCGTGATTATTGTAAAATGATAGCCCTCCAGGTATGGCTTCATTTTTCGGATTGCCCACACTATGGCTAAGCACTCCTTCTCCGTTGCTGAGTAGTTGATTTCAGGTGTGGTAAGATGCCGACTAGCATAGGCTATAACCTTTTCTATACCCTCGAAATTCTGTGTAAGGACGGCCCCTATTCCGATATTGCTGGCATCTGTTTGCAGATAGAAGCGTTGATTAAAATCAGGGCATGCAAGCACAGGTGCTTCTGTGAGACGTTTTTTAATTTCGAGAAAGGCTTCTTGCTGTTTGTTATCCCATTTCCAATGTTTCCCCTTCTTCAACATCGTAGTCAGTGGATGAGTAATTTTTGCAAAATCTGGTACAAATCGGCGATACCAGGACGCGATTCCCAGGAATTGTCTTATTTGTCTGATGTTGGCAGGAGGTTGTAAGTCGCGTATAGCTGCAACTTTGTCTGGGTCCGTATGAATTCCTTGTGAACTAACTAAGTGCCCCAGATATTTAGTTTCTGTTCGGAAAAATTCGCTTTTATCCACGTTTATCCGAAGGTTGGCTGCTTTCAAGCGACTCAGTACTTCTTTTAAATTTTCTAGATGGTGCTCGAATGATGTACCAGTTACAATGATGTCATCTAAGTATGCAAAAGCGTATGGTTCCAGATCTGCTCCTATCACTTGATCGAGCGCTCGTTGAAACGTCGCTGGTGCTGAATGGAGACCAAAAGGTAACACTCGCCATTGGAACAAACCTCTTCCGGGCACTGTAAACGCCGTGTATTGTTTGCTATTTTCATCCATTGGGATCTGCCAATAACCGTCTTTGAGATCTATACTGCTAATATACTTAGCATTACGCAATCGGTCAAGAATGTGATGGATTCGGGGCAATGGGTATGCATCAGGTATAGAGTGGGAATTCAGCTGCCGGTAGTCTACGCAAAATCTCCACTCGCCATTCTTTTTACGGACTAACACGATTGGTGCACTGTATGGACTTCGAGATGGTTCGATGCATCCTTTACCTAGCAGTTCATTTACCTTGTTGTCAATGATTCCTTGCATGGCCGGGTTTTTTGGAAAATAGCGTTGTTTAATGGGCCGGTCATCTTTCATTATGATTTTATGAGTGGTAATATTGGAAGTTCCCTTGAGTTTTCCAAACGCGATCAGTTCCTGGTTTATATATTCTTGCGCTATTGTCAATTCCTCTTGTTTGGTTAAGAAAATATTTGTAGGTATCTTACAACATGTCGTTTTCTTGGTTTCTTTTAGTCGGACATTGATTCCACCGATTGTTATTGTAGCTCTCATTGCTTTGAAGAAATCCAAACCAAGTATAAGAGGATCGACACTTTCAGGTAAAATGAGAAGATCACCTTGAACCGTCTGTTGGCCTAATTTGATATTGGCTGTAATTCCTTCATCAATATGTTTCGAGCTGCCGTCCGCCATACGTATTCGTGTTAATGGAAGATCCCTTCGAAATCCTGTGTTTAAAATTCGTGCCAAGGACTCACTGATGAAACTCCTAGAGGCTCCGGTATCCAACGTTGCTTCCACTGTTTTCCCATTAAGTTGGACTTTGGCCACAATACGAGCCTCGTTAACTTGAATCTCTTCTAGAATTTCGCAGGGTCGTGGTTTTGTGTGAACGTCCTTCCTGCTACCGAACGTTCCCCTTCGCCGTTTCCCGAATCTCGTCTACAACAATCAATAGTTCGGACATTTTTATTTCCACAGATCCAACAGAACCAAACCTGTTGATTTCTACATCCTCTTGCGATGTGCCCTTGTTTACCACATCGTCTGCAGGCCTTAGATACATCTGAAATCCTTTGTTCAGAGGTTTGTACTATGTGATTTCTTTCGTCTCTCGTTCGTTGAGGTGCGGTTTTGTCTTGCTCTATCCGAATGGCTTCATATTCGCCTGCCATTAAGATCAATTCCCCTAACGTTTTGAAGTCATGTCGACGAATGTATAATTGATAATCAGGATGTGCGTTCCGATATATTCTTTCGAGTTGTGCAGTTGATGTCATATCCGCGTGTCGCATCAATGTTTGAAGAGCTCCGACATAGACTTTGAAAGTTTCTCGGGGTTTCTGTCTGCGTGCTCGGATTTCATCTTCCAGTTTTTCAAAGTATCGGGTTGGCAGGAAAAATAAGAAAAAATCAGTTTTGAATGCTGTCCACGACTTCCAATGCTGGTTATTATTCCTGTACCAAGCAAGTGCCTCGTCTTTGAGTAATTCAGGCATCGTACGGGGAAGCAGATGTACATTTATGTCATAAGTCTCCGCTAGTTCTTCAACTCGTTCGATAAATGCTAATGGATCTTTACCTCCATCATATTTAACTGACCACTTCCGTACGTGTTCGATGGTTTGTAGGTATGAGTGTGAAGGGGGAAATATAGGACTCATTTCATTGCCTGGGATTTGAAGGGTTGGTGTGGACCGGCTGTGTCGGAGGGCCAGTTCTTTCAATCTCTGTGTGATGTTTGAATCTAGATTATCGTCATCAATGAAGTTAGTAATCCTTTTTCGTAAGTCTTCCACAGACC